AACAGTTTTTTGTTAAAAAAAAAAATTTGATTTTACAAGATATTTTCCTATGAAGCTACTCTCATAAAACATAAGAAAGGAAAAGCTATTGTTTAAACTTTATGTTATTTGATTTTAAAAGAAACACAGTAGAAAATGTTGTAAAAGTAATTATGTTTCCATTGTTTTATTGACTTAGAGAACTTATAGTTTTTGTTGAATTTTTGTAATTTACACTGAATGTATTGTCGCAGCGGATTCAGCCTGACCAAAAGCTTCACCGAAAAAATCCTATTTATTCATATGGCCCCTGTGCATACCTAAGCATTTTGTTGCAATAAACAAAACGCTGGGCGCTGGAAAAAGTCTATTTTTGGCAGATCTTGGCCCCATAAACACAATAGGAAATGCTTGAAATCATGTGTTAGTTTCTGAACGTTTTGACAGGCATATGCACGTGTTTTGTCCATTGACTTTAATGTTTCACAATCTGCTCATACAAATGCATGTAATTAATTTAGGAGTGTGTAAAAATGCGCACAAACATGCCAAAATGCTAACGCTTATGTGTGAATCAGGCCTAAAAAAAATTGTATTTCTATAAAATTTTTGTTTTACAGAATTAATTTAGTACAACCATATGCAGAAACCACAGATCATTTATGTATTTTCCATAAACAAAACACAGGAGTTTTTTTGCTTTAGATTATCTCGCTGATTTGAAACTTCATGTAGTCCAAGTTGAACAGATCAGGCAGGAAAGGGGGATGAGCTATTTTTTGGTCAGATTCAGTTCCATGTATACATTTCAGTTTGAGGCCCGATTCACACCTAGGCGTTTTCAGTTTTGCACTTTCATCATGCGTTTTTTTTCTGGGCAATGTTGTGCGTTTTTGCATTTTAAAACATTTCTTTCTCCCGGCATAGAGATGTCTATGGAACTAAAACCGAGCAGCATCTGCCTGAAAATAGCACCTACATCTTTTCACGAGACAGGCGTTTTCCTATGCATGACGCAATGCTAAGGTGTGCATTGACTTGCATGTAAATGTGTGTTTTGCGTGTTTTCGCGTGACTAGATCTGCACGGAAAAACGCTCAGGGGTGAACCATGCCTGAACTATGAAGCAGGTAAGAATAGACAGGTAATCATGTAAAAGAAGCCTATAGCTCCACTTCCTAACTTTACTATATATTCCCTTTAAGGTCCCTTTCACATGGCTGTTCTGATAGATCATCTCAGTTTTTCAGGCAGACCTGATACGAAGCGCAATGTTAATCTATGGCCTGGTGAATGTCCACAGACGCCAATGCATTTACATCCAACTACCTCCAAGTCTGTCTAAGTTTGAGAAAAAAAAAAGTAAAAGAGTGATGGATCAGAGGTAAAAGGATTTAAACTGACGCCCATCCATTTTCAGCCACCTGCCCATAGACCTAACATGGGTCTGTGTAGTTTTGTTTTTAATTCTCATTTGCTTCATAAAGAGAAGACAAGGGGCATAACAGAATATTCATATCAACAGAAAAATCTGTAAGTTGTTTATGCTCAATCTGAGCGAGAAAAATGATCTGTTAGAGAAGAGCTGCAGCCACAGACTTGTGAAATGTGGTTTAGGGCAGACCTTAATGAAAGGTCAAGAAGCCTAAAATGCATCTGCTTTTCTTTCTCTTTGCCATCTAATTATCATGCCATAGGTCAAAAGGCTGACATAGCCAATTCAGCTTGAGTCCTCATTCTGTACTGTGACCTAACATTATGTTCTGTTTGGTAACATATACCATGCTACAATCAAAGCATTCATGGAACAATACTCGTTATTCCCAGCTCATTCCTCAAGGAGATGCAAAATAAGGATATGATTATTTTTTGTCATGTGAAATTTGGTAACTGAAAAGCTGGAAATGCTTAGCCTAAGGCACAGTTTTAATGTTGTGCCCTGACCTCCTTGCAGCATCAATCACAAGTATGTTTTCAAGATAATTCTGCTAATAACTTTACAGCATCATCATGACACCAATGCCATGCAACTACAACTGCTATGAGATTTTTAGGGCGTACATGTCCTAAAACATATAAGTGTAACACTTACAGGTATGTATTACTTCTCACAGAAATCACATTATGTTTTTTTGGTAACCCCACTGCAAGGGATAATTTTTACATTTCCTGGAGTTCTAATTTAATTATCACATCTGTGAATAACAAGGAATTATAGTATGAAGACTTATTTATCAAAAGGCACTATCTGGTAGCTCCCAAGCTGATATGTTTACCATGTCTTTTCACACTTTCCCTACCGTCTGTATGCATATATGCGGCAACACAGCAGGAGGGCTTTAACACTGGGCTGCCCATATATGTGTGCAGCTAACTTCGCTGTTCTGTACTTGGAGTGCACATACTCAGCGCTCCCAGCACAGTGACTGAGCTGTCACCGACAGCTCCCAGTCACTATTTTACTGCGCATGTGACCACTGTGACACCCAATAACAGTGGTCACATGATCGGGAAGCCCATCTGGGACTCCTGGTGTTTTGGGGCATACACCGATCAGCCATAACATTATGACCATCCGCCTAATACTGAGTAGGTCCCCCTTTTGCCTACAAAACAGTCCTGACCCGTTGAGGCATGGACTCCACTAGACCTCTGAATGCATGCTATGGTACCTGGCCTCAAGCCAAAAGTAGTAGATCCTTTAAGTAATGCAAGTTGCAAGGTGGGGCCTTCATTGATTGGATTTGTTTTTCCAGAACATCCCACACATGCTCAATTGAACTGAGATCTGGACAACTTGGAGGCCAAGTCAACACCTCAAACTGGTTTCTGTGTTCCTCAAATCATTTTTGATCCATTTTTGCAGTGTAGCAGGGCGCATTATCCTTCTGAAAAAGGCAACTGCCATCAGGTAATACTGTTTCTACAAAGGGGTGTACTTGGTCAGCAACAATGTTTAGGTAGGTGGTACGTGTCAAAGTGACATCCACATGAATGGCAGGACCCAAGGTTTCCCAGAAGAACATTGCCCAAAGCATCACACTGCCTCTGCTGGCTTGCCTTCTTCCTATAGTGCATCCTGGTGCCATCTCTTCCCCGTGTAAGCGACGCGTTTGCACCCAGCCATCCATATGATGTAAAAGAAAACGCAATTTATCAGACAAGGCCACCTTCTTCCATTGCTCCGTGATCCAGTTTTGCTGCTCATGTGTAGATTGTAGGCATTTTTAGTTGTGAACACAGGTCAGCATGACCACCCTGACTGGTATGCTACCACGCAGCCCCATATCCAACAAACTGGGATGCACTGTGTGTTCAGAAACCTTTTTATCAGATCCAGCATTAACTTTTTCAGAAATCTGAGCTACAGCAGTTCTTCTATTGGATCGAATTGCACAGGCCAGCCTGCTCTCCCCATATGCATCAATGAGCCTTGAGCACCCATGACCCTCTTGCAGTTACTGGTTTTCCTTCTTTTGAGCACTTTTAGTGGGTCCTGACCACTGCAGACCAAGAACGTTGCACTAAAGCTGCAGTTTTGGAGTTGGTCTGACCCAGTCGTCTAGGCATCACAATTTGGCCCTTGTCAAAGTAGCTTAAATCCATACGCTTGCCCGTTTTTTCTGTTTCCAACACATCAATTCTGGGAGCAAAATGTTCACTTGCTGCCTTATATATCCCACCGACTTCCAGGTGACATTGTAATGAGATAATCAATGTTATTCACTTCACCTCTCAGTGGTCAGAATGTTATGGCTGATCAATATATATATATATATATATACTACCTGCATGGAATTTTTCATAATCTTATGAGGATTTAGAGAATGCCTGGCTTTATGTACCTTTTCTTCACAAGTTTTATTGCAGAAGATTTTTGCAGCGGCAGTGTCAAACGCCGGCTCTAAGTATTGGCAAGAGTGCATTTTATTCTCCCAATACTTCTCCTTTAATTTATATTTTTGCAGAAACCAATGAGAAGTATATTTTTATATTCAAGTGCAGCAATCCATTTAGATCTGTAAGCAAGTTATGTTACATGCAGAACTAAAATATTTATTTCATTTTACAAAAGGCTTTTCAGAGGATATTTCCCTTGTTGTAGTTTTAGCTGTGGAATATGGAAAATGAAACAATGGTCTGTGTGCCTAACATTTCCCTCATAACAATCTTTACTACAAATGGCACCACATTTTTGTAGCAGAAAAGTAGTGGTGTCTAGCAGGACATGTTCCAAGAGGTCCCCTTCATAAGGGCTAGAAAACAATAAAACATCTAGATTAACACTGAGATCTTAACAGTAACTGGGTGAAATATAGTAATCGTGTGTTATAACGTATATATTCCAACCGATTCTTGTGTCATATCTTGAGACAATTTTTTATTGCTGTGTAGCCCTAATGTAGGGTTCTCCTGAAACCTTTGAAACAAGTTAGTTGCTTTTTAAAATTACTATTGTGATGAATAATCATTACTGGCCACTAAGGCAGTCTCATTGGAGAAAGGAATGTTAGGTAGTTAGTAGACCCTAGTTCTTAAGTCATCCATTGCATCAGAATTATTTTTTATCAACTTTAGCCCCAATTGTGCTCTTGTCAGTTTACTTTATGTTTTTCCCTTTAATACAAGAAAGTGACTGCAGTTCGCAGTACAACAACAAAACAAATATCTAGCACAATAAAATGTATTATACAATTTATAGAGGTCTGTAGAGATGGAATTATGGGGTAGACAGCTTCCAAGAAAGGCTTAAAATGATTTAGGGGCTGTACATAGAATGCCATGGAGGGCCAAATGTCTACTAGCCGAATAGAAAGCTAGATTTTAACATTGTATTTTCATTTCTTCACCAGAAGTTTGTATTAAAAATAGATCTTACAGATCAAGTACAAGCATATTAAATTTGAAGACACAGGCAAATACCAGGTGGGATAGGCACGAGACACTTGCTAATGACTTTGCTTTAATGTTGACATGAAGTATAAACACATTAAACTAATGGAAAGCAAGTATGATCTTACCAAAACACTGCCATTAGGCTTGGACTGCCTCGCCAGACTAACCCCCATCCACTCTTCATCTCTGTCCTCTTTACATGTCTTTCCACATGGATCCCCCCGACTGTTTCCTGCAAGGAGGAGGAGGTAAGAGAAATCATTGAACACTTGGATGGCACTGCATAGTACAGATATACTAAATACTAACACTTTTCAAAGGTGACCTTTGTACTTATGATGTACATGTGGAAAAGAGTTTAAAATCCTTCCACTTTTAAATAAATTGAGCTCCATGTATGGCACATCATGCGCACAGGTATTTTCATTCAGTTCAAAGGACTGAGCAGGATTCTTGCAAATAACATAATGGACTAAAGCCATGAGTAAAATGATGCAGATTTTAAAAAGACAAAACATCAACCACATTAGTATCTCGGTGGTATGTACAGTAGTTGCTTCTCATTTAAGGCCAGTTTAAAGTTTTACCACTTTTCCTGACCATCAAATCAGGTTTTCAAATAACGCTTTGAAATAATGCAAGAACTGCAATGTACTGTTGAGTCTAGGGCTTAGTAGGTATTAAATTAGGAAACAAGTTAAAAACACACTCTTTTTTAATAGCTAGAACTTACTATATTAGCCTTATTTCAAATAATGCAAGCATCGGTAACTGATGATACACATTTCAGCAAAATAGAGCTGTTTAGTACTAATACATTTAATTCATGATTTATTACTGTGTTATAAAACTTACACACTCCATACACAAATAAAATGCCTAAAGTATAATAATAAAGTGTCCCACAAATATAATACAGGACATTGCAAACGAGCAGTCTGAATATCTAGTCAGTTTACCTAATTTGAGTTTTATATACATTTCCCATGATCCCATTAAGTTCAATTGAACAAAGATTTCGTAGGGCCTCTGATCAAGACTGTAGCCATACATTTTGCACTGTGATGCTTCCTATAGAACCCAGTAGGGAAGGTGCAGGGGCATGAACTGTAGTTTCCAAACCATCATGGGCTTAAATAAATAGACTTTTGGGAGACTTTGATGGGTAAAGATGGAATTCCCCAGCTTGCAGAATCTTTTTTTGTTTTGTTTTGTTATATAAATATTTATTAATTTTCAGACAACAATCCAAACTTCACACATTTTACATAACTGGCAAACAATCAACATTAGAACAAAACAAGATATTACATTAATCCCTTCTAACCTCTATATTGTGCCTGTTATCCATAGCCCAATACATATCTGCACAGGGCCAATCTTTCCAATTTTACCCCTTAGAGTGGGTGATTCATATTATAATTAACTTTTATTATTAACTACCTATTACATTTTTATTTCATTAGTGTTTCCATTTCTTTACAATTCATAACCTTCAACTTGATCAATGATTTGGTGCCTTTCATGAAACAGTCTTCTGTGTGCCCAATATTTTGTGCACCACCTATAATTGATCAAAGTGGGAAATGAATCACCTTTAGTTGATCATAGTGTGATAGTGTGTATCTTTATACACAAAAATGCAGTTAATTGTGCCCAGTTATATCCTTAAAACATATATATCTAAGTACCTATAAGTGGCCTGAAAAATGGTCACTAAAAAATGTTACTAATCAAAACATCCTTCCCTTCCTCCACCGTTTATCTGTTACTATATATCGTGTGAAACTACAAGCTTATATCTCAATCTGCTACCCTTGATAATGTCAAAACAACAATCTTCCCCACGCTTGCAGAATTTAAGCTGGCAACACACTAGCTGACATTTCTCAGAAAATGATGACTGGTGAGACACATGCCTATCTTTGATAGCATGGCTGTGCTGCAAGGACCCACTGTAATGTTCTTCATGATATGGTTGACAGATGAATCTCACACATTATGTGTACAAGGGGTAGGATTTGTTTTAAAGCCCAACTCTGGGTTTGCTGTAATTTGAATAATGCAGTGGGACCCCTTGCCTGCGTTGCATGTGTTAAATGCTCATTTTTTCTACGGGAATTGAAATACGTACAAATAGTCCCCGTATTCCTCACAACTACAGGCTTTCTCTGCACTATCTGGAGGTCCCCCCAAGGCCATTTCTGTTTAGCTGGACCTTCAGTTGCAGGCTTTCTGATATTATCACACCCATAATAGGTCTTACAATGTGTTTCAGGACCAGGAGGGCCCACTCGGTCCACATCCTGGGAGTGTTGAGCAGTGGTGAAGAGTGCCAGCTGCCAGGGGAGCGAGGAATAAGATATTTGAACTTATTCATTATCCCCAAGACAAAACGAGCATTTAACCCATGCAGTGGGTGACACACTGCATAGTTACACCAGCTCAGGGTTTGGCTTTAACATGGGGAAGTATTGGTGGAAAAATAGTATATAGTGTATTTTAAATTAGAACATATTTTGAGTTATTATTGCACTGGTTACCTGAAAGTATTTAAAGGTTAGCCACTAGAAAAAACTCCAGAGGCTGAATGCACCTACTCACTCTTTCAAATAAAACCCCTGATAAAAGATATGTTACACTGGGAGTACGTTGCTTTTAGCGAGTTGGCTGATTGAAAATTGACATTGTTAAAGAATAAAAAATAACCACAACCATTGAACTACACACAGTAGGAAAGAGATCCTGCATCTGTAATGAATATGTCTTCAGTATATATGTAAATATTTTATAGTGACTTTAGTGATTATCCACCTACTGCCTTTACACAAACCCTGGGCCCTTGCTTACCCCACAGAGGACCGTTCCATCACTCGTACACATATTCCATTTCATGCACATGCATGCCATAATATTAGGAGCCAAAGGTTTGTAGTCAACAAATAGACTTACTCTTAGGGGTCTATTCACAAAGCAGTCGAAGGATCTAACACACAATAGCCCGTACAGCTCCCGAACTTAGCCCAAGTGGCTCAGTCGAGCCGAACGCATATGCCTCGGCTCGGCTGAGCTGCGCTGAAAGCCGAAGCTGGCCGAGCGGCTGGCCATCGGCCAGCCGACAGCCTGCTTCTGACAGCTGGGCGGAGCCAGGCGTGATCTTACAGCTGGCTCCGGCCACTTGCAGAGAGATCAGCGTCCCTGGTTACCAGCTAACCAGGGACACTGATCTCCAGACAGCAAACTCTCCCGGGCGCTCCGGGAGTCTCCCGCTCCCGGCCGCCCAGGAGGGAAACACAGCTTTTTTTTTTTTTCTTTATTCTGACACGGTTTTCTATTTATTTGTTTGTGTTTTTTTAACTATTTTTCTATTCTGCTCGGTCCCTCAGAGGCATTCGGCTATTCACTCACTGCTATTCATGTCTATGAGAATAGACCGAACAGCAGCGAGTAGCCTGCACTTCGGCCGACCCGAAGCCACACGACGCCACCCGATGTTCTGCTGATTTCAGCCAATATATGGCTGAAATCAGCCGTACCAGCCTGAATTGAATAGCCGAACAGCGTTCGGCTCACTTCACTTCAGGTTGGTCCTTCACTCGGCTGCCTACGGCAGCTTAATGAATAGACCCCTTAGACACTAGTATGTCCCTTCAGAGCTGCAGGAAAACTTAAAGGAGAAGTATTAGGAGAGTAAAATATACTCTTCCCAATACTTAGAGCTGGTGAGTGACCCTGCTGGTGTTACATGCCAGTTCTATAGGCATATATGATTGCTCAGCTCACGTTCTTCTCCCTGTAGAGAGCAGTGACTGTCAATCACTGCTCCTTGCAGGGATTCCTCCCCTCTCTGTCCCTCCAGTGCTCATTGCAGAGACAGACAGGGGAGGGGCGTGTGGCGTAGCTGGCTCTAGAGATGCAAAGACAGCTGTCAATTAGCAAATGTACTCCTGTGACCCAAAAGAGGACTAAAGCCAAAAAAAAGGTTTGGCTTTAGTTCCCTTTTAAGTGATGTAGTGGCTTGGCCAAGTAACAGCAGGCTGCAGAGAGACACGGGCATTTGAAACACCTGAAAATGTTGTTGAATGCTTAAAATTCTAGTTCTGCAAGAGAGCAAAAACTGGATTCAACAGGGATGGTAATGGTAAGCATTATACAGTAAATGTCTTTACAATTTCTAAAAGTGATGATAGTGTCTCTTTATTTCAGCCTTTTTCCATGCCTCATACTGTTTGGAAGCAAAGTTGAGGATGAATTGTGAGGCTCATTAATGGAAGAGGATGGGTTTAAGTTCAGCTTAAACAGAATCAGATATGCACCATAAAGCGGACATCTACGAACTCCCAGGGAGTTCATTAATATTCCTAAAGGATGCGTGTTGCCACTTCTTGGTACCTGCCTCTCATTCAAGTTATCAGTTGCTACCTTTAAACAACAGGTATTCTGGAAAATAAATAATTGCTCACCTCTTCCCATATCCAACTCTGTACATTTCTTGTCTGGATTGCTGTGAACTCTGCATTTAAAGATCGTTCCTGGAGTCTTCATGGATGAGCTAAATTTCGAATCTGCTTTTGGAGCGCCAACCAGTATCCTAAAAGGTAAGAAGAACACAAATTATTTTTAATTATCAGTTCACTAAAGTAACATCATTTATTTTCAAACCTTCTTCTTGTGGAGAGACAGCCCCATTTTGGAACTAGATCTCTCTTATCCCTCTTTTCTACTTAAATGTCCCTCTTTTTAGTCTTAAGTATAAGACATTTATCTTTGAATAAATGTTCTATTTAACAATCAAAAGTGTTGTATTGAACTAAACCTTTCATCCAAACTCTGAATTTGAACCCTGAATCTGAGAGGAATAGGAGGAAAATAAAAATAAGGTATGCAAAGAATAAAAAGCCTGCAATAGGGATGCACTGATACCGATACTAGTGTCACAGTATAGTGTCACAGGCAATTTCACAGGTACTTGCAAATGCCCCAATACTAAGCGCCGATACTGGCACTTTGACAGTGCCAGTCCAGCCACACCTCACCTTTCCGCTGTCCACAGAGACCAGCACAGCCCTGGAGAGCCCCACATGACCGTGCGGCCATAGAGAGCCCGGGACCCGCCCGTACAGCCATGGAGAGCCTGGAAACCACGCGCGTACAGCCATGGAGAGCCCCGCAACTGCCTGACCCAAAGGCAGTCCTGGTGAGACCTTGGGCATCCTCCTGAGACCGTACAGCCCTGCTGTGACTCGCACAGCCCTGGTGAGACCACACACAGCACCAGTGGGACCCCACACATCCTCCTGAGACCCTGCGCAGCCCTGGTAAGACCTTGTTACAGTGCTGGTGAGACGACGCACAGCCCTGGCCAGACCCCCCACAGCCTCCTAGGACCTCGTTACAGCCTTGGTGAGACCGTGCACAACCCTGATCAGACCCCGCACAGCTTCCTGAGATGCAGCGCAGCCCTGGTGAGCAACACAGAATATGTAGCTTTATATTATTCCGCATTTCTGTATAATGGATTGCTGGGATTTGTAGTCCTCTATAGCTGATGGTAATCTGTATTGCTATATAATGTATTGCTAGGATTTGTAGTTCCTCTACAGCTTGGAGTCAATGGCAGAACTACCAGCGTCTCAGCGGTGCAGCTGTGACTGGGCCTTGGCGCCCCTGTCATTAGTCTCCACTGTTTTAGAAAAACTGTCACATGAGGCTAAAAAAAGGCATCAGTAATTGGTATCGGCGAGTATTTGAGGAAAAGTATCGTTACTTGTACTTGGTCTGGAACAAATTGTATTTGTGCATCCCTAGGCTGCAATTATCTATAAGTGTCTGTTTGTAGATTGTCATTACTAAATATTTCTAAAGGTGCCTTTGTTGTTATTTTCAAGATATGGCTAAAGTTCCTCTTTAATGGAGAACGATGGGGTTAGGGCTTTTCCCCATAGTTCTCCTAAGGGTAACGGGAGGACACAAACTAGCATCCTCCCGTCACCCAAAGCTCAGTATACCGCGAGCTACAGCTCGCGGTATACTGAGACGCCGCAGCCGGAACAATTCTGTCTGGATCCACTCAGCTGCCTGAGTGACAGCTGGCTCTGCCTATCTAGAGTACCCGTCCCCTCCCCCATCCGTTCCGCCAGTCAGCGCTGGAGGATCGGACAGGGGAGGGGGGGAATCCAGCCCCCCCCCTGTCACGGCAGAGGGCCGTGACAGGATCGAGAAGTGACGAACGCCGGTATGTGTTCGCTCACTTCACGATCTACTGAGCCGACCTGTGACAGTTTCATTGTCACAGGTCAGATCAGATTATGAGGCTGAGTGAAAATCACTTGCCTCATAATTCTCCTTTAACTGCTGAAGAATACATTCATACAATGTATACGCTTCAGCCTCTTTTACTGCATTGAACCTCAAAGTAATGCTTTCTTGTGCCTTATATACAGATACGTTAAGTATTATTCATGTTAAGATTCTGCAATAGAAGAAAAAAAAAAAAGAAAACACAAACATTATGTGACAAGCATAACAATATAAAGAAATAGTTCCTAAAAGTCTATATGCTCTGCTCCAAGGCCCCGTTCACAACAGTGAATATAAAGCGGTAGTTCCTAAAAGTCTATATGCTCTGCTCCAAGGCCCCGTTCACACCAGGGTGTTTCGTTAAATGCTTTTTCAGCACTGAAACGCAAGCAAATGAAAATCCCATGTATTCCTATACGCATAGAAATACACCTATTATTTGAAATAGTCCCCAAGCTTTTTTTGTGGCACTTATCAGCTCGTTTTGCTCCATAGACTTCAATGGAAATGCACCGATTAGCGTGTTTTTGCATGTTTTTTAGCACGTTTTTGCAGCTGAGACTGCTTTTCAATGGACAACTAAAAACACACTTTAAAAAGCTATTACATATGAATAGAAAACGCCTGTAAAATGCATTGAACTCAAATAAAAAACGCACAAAATTGAGCTAACAAAATGCGCAGAAAGCGTGCTGAAACGCTGTTGCCCTGGTATAAATGTGGTCTCAGAGCAAATGATGCAGCAACATGCATTCAGAGGATCATATGAAACTGTACACTTGTTGTGACCTACCCAATGCCTTTTTACACCCAATGGTTTTTACAGCCTTCTACAGTAATATCAGGGCACACGTCAAGCATTAAATACACATGCAAAACAGATTACAGATGTTCCCTAGAAATGTGAGAAAATCCCATTATTATCTAAATTATTCCAGTACTAAGCTGGCAATTGTTCAGACGCAACTTAGAAAACCACATTTGTTAGTGAGTTTGCCATATGTACGCTGTACCTCATGTGCTCATCTCCATGCGCATAGTAAATACTATGAGAATTCTATTGGTATGTTTGGCCTGATACACAAACAGATTGATTTGAAAGCATAGAGCCATATTCTTTACATCAGGCCCGGTATGCACTGTACTGTTGCCAGCCTCAGGTTAAATCAGAAGTTGCCAGCATCCAATACACATGTTATTAAACAAGAACAGTTTAAAAGAATGGAGAGGAACAGGCTGAATCTCTATTTCCCCAGTAGTTCACAAGTTCCCAGGGTGGTGAGATATTTCCCAGAGGTTGAGGTAAAAATAGAGTGAGATAGAAGAGAGTACAATAAAGGGTTGACATGCAACTTCAATCAAAACTTTTTGTTCTGTTTTCAATCATGTTAGGGAAGGTTGTAGCCTTTGACAGATCTTCATTGCTATATTTGTCACCATTGGCAAGATCTGTCATTTCCTGTAAGGAAGTAGAGGGAATGTCTCCAGCATGAACACAGATGGCAATTAAACCTCCTTTTTATTAGAGTGGGAAGGGTCAGAAACACTGCTTTTTGTTTTACTGTTGCCTGTGTCTTTGGGGAAAAAGGGAGGGATAGGAAGTCTATCGAAAGGACACAGACAGTGGTAAAAACCTGACATTGGTTCTAACCCCTTAAAAAGGTGTAGTTGCCTAATAAAAAGAAGCACGTAGTAAGGGGTTGGTAAAACTGACTCAGAAATTACAGTAAAGAATTAATATACAGTGAGTACTTTTGACCTTACCCAAAAAATAGTGTAAGGAGCAAGGCAGAAAGTGCACAAACTCTCAGGATCCAGAGTTCAATTACACCTGAAGCCATAACTTCTCAAATCATCTCTACATTTGTGCTGGCACTGTCCTTCCTTCTGGAGGGTGGATACTGTTTTTCCCATAGTCCCTGTGTGTTGCAAAGAAGCCATCGCTCCAAGCTTGCTCCCGTGATGGACTACAATCTCACTACAAATTAGTAAACTGAACATGACATTGTAGTCCATCACAGGAGCAAGCTTGGAGTGGTGGCTACTTAACAACACACACAGGGACCATGGGGAACATAATTAGCCCCCTCTCCAGAAGGAAGGACAGTGTCAGAACTAATTCAGAAATGATTTGAGGATCTACAGCTGAGTGACATACAAATAAGATACATTTTTGTTAATAGTTAAGGTACTTCAATGCATTTTTAAGGTTTAACTCCTGGGTATAGTGTCACTTCAAGGACTTTATTCTCTTACACAGCTTTGGGTCACAACACTTTATACTGCCAGTAGAACTCTGCGTAGAATAGTCTTTGGTGCCAAGTATAAAAGAAGATGTTAAGCACTCTACACTTCTACTGTATATGATCACATGACTGTACTAAGCATGTCAGTTTCTTCAGACCATCACCTGGTCACTATATTGGAGTCTCATATAGTGGTATGAAAGCATAGGAGATACACAGTGAGAACCGGAGCAGCATTGAGAGACAACCCCACACAAGAAGGGCAGGGGGTAGGAGTGAGGAAAGACAGTCATCACTCCATTTATACAGAAATCGAGTTGTAAGTGGATGAATGGTTTTGGAAAAGGCAGATCCAATTTATTGACCAACCTTGGCTCACATACAGTGTTAACAACTGTGCTCTCCATGTGTATGTACACATTTTAGATCTGACAGCTTAATTTTCTCATCATAATCATATCTCACTTTCACATTTTCCTTACAGGAATATCAATGAAATGCTATTCAATTTTTTGTAATTTAAAAAAAAAAATGTATTCATTTTACCATCATATAAACCTAAACTCATACAACCACATAGGGGGGAGATTATCAAAGCAATTGCGACAGTTTTAGTTTTTTTTTTTTTTTATGTGCAAATCTGTTTAGCCGCTCCTTTTAACATGTGCACCTGTTGTCACCAAAGCTTGCACTATTTTTCCGATTGCGCGTGTTTTGCACGTGTTTTGTGAAAGTTCGCAACTGTTTACATCTGCATTTGTCCTGCGGCTGTCTGAAACTGGAGCATCACCTAACAAAACAATCACAACTTAAGCAGTCCCCATCAGTGGCGGACCTAAGGAACCTGGCCCTGGTGCAAGAATTTTTTTGGGCCCCCCCCAAAAAAAACCCCACAAACACAGCGCTCTCCTCCCGCTCGCCCGGGATGCGCCGCTGTATCGGCATAAAAATGGCACTTTCGGCATTTAGCCAAAAGTGACATTTTCGGCAGATATGTTTTGGCGGCCGCTATATCGGTGCATCCCTAATATTTACAGCAATCCAG